CCCAAACAGTATCTCATCTCATATGTCGGTCAATAATTCCCGGGAAAGCAATATTATTTTTAAAAAGTGCTCAAAGTCCTCAAATGACGCGGACTGAAATGTCATCATAAAAGTTCTTTTGGTAACATCCCTGTGCTGTGAAGCACGTGAAGTTCGTGTCTTGTTGCTTCTTGATCGAAGAAATTCGCGATCAAACTCAGTATTAGCTTGAAAAGTGAGAATGCCGGTTGAAAACAATAAATTGTCTGTGATGCGTTGATTTAGACAAGGGTATGTTCTTTCATTACACCGGAACACATCAAAGAATCTGTAAACTTATACGCAATAATCGAAAAATGAAGTTCAAGGTACCTTGAAGATATCAAAAGGCAGCACATTCTCCACTTTGCATGAAAATTTAGAGGTAAGAAAGCTGTTTTCCAAATGACTATCACAATGGAACAAAAAAAAGGACACTTCGCTGTGTAGTCACAGTATCAGGTAAACAAAGTTGCTGTCGCGGGCACCTTATCCGCCAGAGCTGGTCACCAGCTAATATTATCTACTTGCAGATCTCATAAGTGAGTTCTAAGGAGAAAGGTTTAGAGGAAATGCTGACGAGGTCCTTGCGGAATAAGAAAAGCATCGAATACAAATACATGCACTCTCTCTACTGACATGTATTTCACTTTAACTATCGCAAGTAAATGATGAACGATAAAAAAAAGGCTCCCTTTATATTATACAGCAGCTAAAAAACCAAAAAAAAGTTCAAATCACTCATTACCCAGATATTTTTTTTATTTACAAGAAAAATTATCTGCCTATTTAAAATACGGCAGCACTTTCCCTCTAACCTATTACTTTATATGTATAACTGATAATTTGGTAAAAAATAAACGACTGATAATAAGACTGTATGCTGTTTCGGATTGGGAAGGCAAATTAATAATGACACTGAATAGAAAACATCAAATAGCTTGAAATGTGAAATATGAATACGTACAATAGCAAGTGCGAGCGGAGAAGGAAAACTCAATCATGCTTGGAACGAAAGAACACAGTTACCTTCTGCTCGATTTCACCTGACTAGGTAGATCGTTCCATAACTTTACAACATTAATAAAAAACAGTCTTGAGTCAGAAGATGTGGAATGTCTTTATGCTGCTAAAACCAGACTCATTGTTCCATTAGAGTTAGCAGGCATCAACTTGTCATAGAGGTACAAATAATTTTAGGAATCAAGATAAGATTGCGTGCATTGAAGTAAGGGACCAAACGTGATACCAGAATTTTTGGCGAGTGTTGAGATATGCGTTCGTATTTTCTCTGAAGAAGACTGCGTTGGTGAATGTAGTCGACTTTGCAAAAAATTAAATGAATAATTTTTCTTACCTAGTTCCACGACTTATTGATCTATGCGTTATATACAATACACGCAAGTTTTTTGTCTGTTAAACAAATGAATTTTTGGGAACGCATTCGCACTCTTCCCCAATTTAGTTTTAAATAATAGTTATTTGTTGATTGTAACATTAAAAAGATTGCCTTTTGAAAACATCATCCAAGTCATTAAAATTCTCTTAAACATAAAGAGCTTAACAACAAAACAAAACTGCTTGTGCTTGCATCCTCCTTAACATACATTTGTACTTATAAATATGTATGCATAGTGAATGGCTTCGTGTATGGAATAGGAACGGTAAATAGCATTTATGCTGCGACGTTAGTTGGTAATGTTATATCAATCTTAACATACAATTTATGACTTATTTTCTATTAACTCTCTTGGTTGGTGTTCGGTAAAAAGCTACTAACGCTTGACTCAAGACGGATGGTAGCTAATGGAGGAAAGAGGCCTACTTGTTCGTTTTATTGCTATAAGTCTTCATGCTGTTATTGTCATTTTTGCTAACAGCAAAGTAAGTGCATACAAACGTGCACGTTGAGCATCCAATTGCATGACAGAAGTAAAACATTTTTGTTGAATTCTTTTTTTTTTTTTTCTTTCATTATAATAGTTTCTTGAAGCTTTCAGGTTGGTTTTATTTTCGGCAGGTTACTGTTACTGTTGCCATTTTATTGATTATTTTACTCGAACCATTCACCACTGGAGGGTTATGCCAGTTTCGTATATAGTATGTAACTTAAATAAAATTTATCTAAAGCACCCCTTGAAGTGCTTCGCAAAGTTTTGGAAGTCGCGAAAAATACGTCAAATTAAAAACAGCTTGAAACGTCTGTCTTGCTTTTATATGTAATATATATATATATGACAATATACATATACTTTTTAGCAATCTAAGTAAATATATTTTTCATATATTTTCATATATAGAATTAATTTTTGCTTTACTCAATAACGACCTCCGCTGTAGTGTAATACACGCGAGTTTGTGTCCTTTCAATTTGAGTAGGCCTTAAAATACCCCCTAAACCATACTATGTGCCACAATTAAAGTATTAAAACGACTCAACCGATGAATTGCCACATAAGCTTCTCAACTTTGAAGTCAGACATTATAGAAATACACACAACAAATTCCATTAAGTTGAATAAGCTGTCTATAGTGTAGAGTATCGTAAGTTTTTTTACTTAATTGTTCGTCTGTTTTCGTCTGTCAAGTGGAAATAATTAAGATTGAAGGTGCGTAGCAGATACAGCTCCTGATTGATTTCCACAACTCAAGTTCAATTGTCAAATAACTCTCTATGATTATCTTCTATATCATCGCTTATAAACCCAAGTTAATGGCGGAGAAGAGTAATCGTGCGATCATTGCAATCGTTTGTTCATTTTTCTTTTTAACGTGAAATTTTGAAATAAATCCGACTGTCAATATTTCGTATTAGAAATTGAATATTATAATCAATCATTTCCATGCAAACTCTGCAAAAAATATTTTCCCGGATAATTTGCGAGGGTAATCTATGACATATAAAAGTGTGTGTGTGTGTGTGTGTGTGTGTGTATATATACATATATTTTCTTTCAGGGTATCTAAGATTCGTCTCAAGGTGCATATTCCTTTCATGTTAGCTCAATTATATCGAAAGAGACTAGTTGTGTTAGTATTGGTGGTTGTCATAAATGTTTTATCAATATTATAAGATATTATTTAGGTTTCTAAGTCTATGACTTTAGCTACCAATCTTTTCTCGTTTCTTTTCGTCTTTTCAATTTTCCTTGAAAATGTTAGTAAGCAATACGGTCAATCAAGCAAAATGTTTAGCTACCTACAATACTTTTTTACTTTTATATATATATATATATATATATATATATATGTACATTTTTTTTTCTTTTTTTGGTAAACTAACTTGTGTTTTAGCATTTTATTAACGTTACACGATTTTCAATAATAAAATGTCAGGAAACAGAAAAAAAATGTCATCAAAGTTTGTAATTGGAATGGAATGTAAATGAAAACGATGTGTATGTAGATTCTTTACAAAAAGTCAACATGACAGCTTAAACATTTAAAATAAAATAAACAATTTAAATAGCAATTGCTGCACGGGAATACAAATAAAAAAATTCCCCCAAAATAGTCGTTTTTTTTTGTTTTGCTTTAAAGTTGAAGTCTTCCTCAAATTAATTAAAGATTAATGCTGTTTGTTAGACGTGAATTAAGAAATCGTATATCTGCTGTGGCCCGACTATTTTGCAGTGCGAAGAGATCAACAATTTTCTAACGCTTTCGCTGCCACGTGTTCTGATTTCAATCCACGCTAAAACGCATTAGTACACTCAACTTACCTTTTTAAATGAATAGATTAAGATGTCAAAATTCAATGTTCATATCGCCATTTTATGCCATGAAATCATGATTACAGGGCTTTTTGAGATATGTACCTATAACGGTACACGCGTACTATAATGAATATAGCTGCCGTTAACTAGCTCTTTGACTCACACCTTCCATTTAAGAAACAGTAGTTGGATTAAATATATGTAGCTAAGACCATGTTTCGGAAAATGATATGAAATGAAATCTAGCTGGAAAGTACATTCTACAAACAATCCAATAAACCATTTTTATTCTTGTTGTAATAAAATTCGTCGCCATAAGAGACTACAAGGAAAGTATGAGACAGAGTTTCTACTTAATTGTGCGAATATAAGAAATATACTGCACAAAGCTCTCAATGTCATACATATTATGCATATTACTTTTACGTAATATAAAATAAAATAATATAACAAATATAACAAAAATAAGTTTACATGTGAAATTTGTTCGCGTGTACCGAAAACAGCGCATGTAATGGGTAAGCGGCATACGCTCATGAACAGTTTTCCAGAAAACGTGGTAATGTCAATCGTCTCCATTTGAAATGAACTTTTTGAATGGCGTAACTTTTCATGTCTTATTGCACGATAAATTTAATGTCAAAGGTGCATGTGCAATAATGAAAATATTAGCTTAAGGCGTGCAAGCGCTTGGATTTCCTTGCTGACGTGGACTTCTTGTTCTGTGCTATATCTCTACGCAGTGATTATATAAAAATCCATATAAATCCATAAAAAGGAACTTCGCAGAGGCAACAGAAATGTGCACTAGGATATGTCAAGTATTAACGCAATAGGGCGATAGACGGAAAGAAGTGGAGAAAGGAAAGGGATTGTGTGTGTTTAAATGCCTTTGGAAATATCCAAAAACACGAAATAGAATATCGATCGGAGTGCGAGTTTTAATGCAATATTTGTATTAATTGCTTATTATGAGTGCATGCATGAAAGCTGTAGTGATAGAGAAAAAAGATATGGAGCAAGTTTCAGCTTCAGAGCCTTCAAGCGAATAGACAGGAAGACCTGCTGTCCAAAAGACGCACAAACGCACAGAGCTAGATATATTCAGGACATCAAACGGCTTATGGGTTTTCAAACGCTTATGGGTTTTTCGATGCATGTGTATGAAACCATCTTTCGTTGGCTTGAGGCTTAAGGGATACAACTTTTAATTTGTTTTTCATATATAATGAAAATTTTAAAAGCACACGAGTTTATTCTTTTCAGCTCTGTTTGATGATTTTGGCAGCTTTGGGCATATACGACGACGTCATCATCCCCGCGGTACTAAACGAGGACGACCACGTGGCAGTACACGTCGCGGTACATCTACTAATAGTTCTTTTGTAAGGGCTGCTACATCACCGGGACAAACGACTTTTGTTGGATCCATAAATAGCAACACCAACAACAACCCCAGCGAAGGTAAGTGCATTGCGAACGTATTAAATATTTAACGCCTTACTTCCGCTTGTTGTTGTTTTGCTGACGCAAACCGCGTAAAATTATTTTTTATATAGATTTTTGAAAAACCACTTAAGGCTCTGTGCAGTAAGTGAGCATCCTCCACATAGCCTACTGACTAAAGTGTGCTCGTCTTTTTTAAGCAACCACTTAAGAAAAAACGAAAACAATAAATTCTCCCCCCATTTTTTCCCCTGTACTTTAACTCTCAAGTGCATTAAATCATTGTTCATTTTAACGTTTCCGCTCGGTACGTGACATGACGCTTGTTTTAATCGTTCAAAAAATCATTTAAAAAAATGCAGGAGCAGTTCTTAAAATATTTTTTAAAACTCCTTTTTTTTTCTATTGGAAATCGTAAAACAAGAAAAAAGACAAAAACAAACATGCTCATTAAAAATTTAACACTTAACTTCAATTCGTTAAATATTATCGCTGGCGATAATATAGCGAAGATAATCTCAAAGTCACCACAAATATTTACTCGATATAATCTATTAAGAGAAAGGACTTGCTTGTCTCACCCAGCTCTATTCCTTTATCTGTTTTCTACGTGCATGGACTTGTTAGGAGTGCGCGCTTTTGATCGATTCAAAATACGCGCCGAATTTTTCTAATGATTTTATTGTTATAATTAAATTGAAATTTACATTGAGACAGACAGACGTTTGTACTTCGTTTAGCCGCGCCTTTAGCCTTAGTTGCTCCTAGTTTAAATTAGTTTTTAAGTACAAAGTGTAAAGTGTTAAAGAACATAATTCTCAAATAACAGCTAATGTTGAATGCCAGAAAGAGTCAATTGCTCGAATGCAAAACAATGTTTGGCCAATGGTCGGTCGGTTCAGGTCAAAGAAACAGAGAGAAAGGATGAGAGAAGTGAAAAGTACATGTTAACTTGGATTATCTTGTTCTCCTCTCTCCACCGGAGTTGGCTATCCTTGCACTAGATGTTGGTTACGGCTTTTGTCTGATTATTTCGAATAAATCTTAATGAGAATTGATTTAAAAGCATTTTCTGTTATTGTTGTTGCTGATGTTGTTGTAACAAATCCACTAAAAATTTTATATGACATTTCCTATTCGATTATGCACGTACCAGGTCGATGAGTGTCCATGTGCGTGTACGAGACTGAGTGCGTGTGTGTGTGTGTGTGTGTGCGTGTGTGTGTGTGTGTATGTGTGTGTATGTGTCCGTGTGCTTTGGCGTTCATTGTGTAGTAAACAGCTGTCATTTCAAACAACGCGGATTATACAATAGTAACAACAACAATTTAATTTAATTTTTGCACATTTTTCACAAAAAACTACAAAAATTGCACGAAAAAGCAGCAATAATGGAGAAAAAAATATTAATAAATTCATTGCAAAACACGTACCGCAACATTTTAACGTTAATTACATAAATCGGCTTAAATATAACGTATATATATATGTATGTATGTATGCGTTTGTTTGTGATTGCATACGCACCACGAACGAACATATTTATTTTGCACTGTTCCATCGAGGACAAACGGTAAAGTGAACTCACAAACATTTGTCATTAATTTTAAGCGTAATCATGACATACGTACAGAAATACAGTCAACAACAAACAGCAACAACAATAGCAATAACGACAACGACATTAAGCGCATATAACATTTGACTGCTTGTGTGTAAAAGTTTTGTGAGACCCAGACTAAAATAGTATGAGAGTAGTGCTTGCATGTATCGTGTGCGCGTGTATGTGTGTGCGCGAAGAAAAAACCACAAAATTCCATTTGATGATGTTCTCCCGTCGCTTGATTTTAAATGTGGCCGCGCAATGTTTCTTTTTTTTTTTTTTTGTTTTTCTTTAATGGCTTTCACGTATTAATTACCAAATCAAATACATAATTACGTAAATAAGTATATGTGCGGTACTGCAAGGATGACGATTGCATTTCCGAGTTATGTGTGTGTGTGTGTGTGTGTGTGTGTATTGGTGAAGGGATGTGCTTAAATACGTTTACGGCCAATTTCCGTTATATTTTAATAAAACGTGATATGTTTTATTAACGGCGCATTACGAGGATTGCGATAATTTTAAGGCGATTGGCGATGCTTTACATTAAATGCTCACATGTGCAATGAACGTGGATGTGCTTGTATAACAAATGAAAATTTCTGTTCAATTTCTTTTTGTGCTCTTTTTTATGTCCCTTAGATGGTTGTGTGACCACATCGCAAACAACACCGCATCCTCTACCAGCCTCTTCTTCCAGCAACGTGGATGAGAATAATATTTTCACACCCACAGCAGTACCAATGCCGGTTAAACGAGGCCCCGGCAGACCACGATTGAAGACTGGAGGACCAATCAATCAGGGTCTGAGAGGCGCTCCACGTACGCGCAAACCAATTGGACCGCTTGTGGTGCCTTTGGGCAGCAGCCCCGCAACTACACCCATTAATCGTAGTCCCGCCATTAGTCCAGCACCAAGTCCGGCTCATTCAGAACGCGCTGCGAACGCGAACTCAGCCGGAGCTGCTTATTATCAATCAGGAACTGAGAACGTGCATTAATGTCGTAATATAATCATTTTTCCTTTTCTTCCTTTCCCTTGGAGGAATCGATTATTTATTCTTTAGTGTTAAGGATAAGCGTAAAGTAAACTGTTCCTAGTTTTAATATGACATAGTTAAGCTGAAAAGTTACAAAGTTTTTTAGATGCGATCATAACAAAATCGCTTCTTTTTCGTATTATAAATATAAAAATTTTTCAAAATCAATTTATCATAAAAATATATGAAATTTTTATTTTACGTGTTCTTATGTGTAAAACGGTTCTAAACCGTCCATTAACGACTCATTTCAAAGGTAAAATGTTATAATTTTTAAATCAACTTGATTTGTCGGGCTAACAAAGGACAATCTCTTTAAATTCATTTCCCCAAATATTGAGATTAATTGCTTTCGTCGACTATGAGTTAAAAACACATCATCTTCATTCATGTATCGTATGTATTTATTTATTTATTCGTTAAATTTAGTCAGCTCCTTCTTCTATTTTGTGTACTTTTCCTTCTACCGGGTTCTCCTTCAAGCGCACACCGGCGAAGTCATCCATACGTATGAGACATGCTATCGCTATCTGCCGTTTCCGGAATATTGCTCAGAAAACCGCCTTCCTTGCAAGGGGAAGGACCCACTCAATAAAACCGTAAATAGATATTAAAAAAGGTCGGAGTGTTATGCAGATACCTTTTAAAGCCCAGTAAATTTTTATACCCTACACCGCTTGTGGTACAGTTTGTATTAAGTTTGTGGAAACGCAACACTCGGATGGGCTTAAGACAGCCCTTCCCTACTTCATACCGATCAAGTTAGAGTCGCTTCC